GAGCTGCTGCCACCATCAATACTCATTTCCAGCAAAAGCACCCAGGAGAATAATGTGTTTTTCTGTATTTAACGGCGATGAAATCAGCTCCTGTGTGATCTGAGAGGCAGAAACATCAGAAGTGCTCAGAGCAACACGCCGTGTGCTGCAGTCAAACCAGTCCTCACTTTCATGTCATCAAGTTTATTTCAAACTGCCTGTTAAATAGTCTGGAGACTTTGTACACATGTTAGCAGATACCAAAACCTTTTAGGTGGATTCATGTTTGTGTGTAGGCTAGCTGTTGTGAGCTTTTATACTTTTTCTGTGTGCTGTAAAGTTTAGTTGATTCAAAACACACATTAAACACACATTAAACACACATTAAACACACATTCAACATGGCTTAACAGAGACAGTTTCAAACACAACTACACAAATCAGCTTCACTATAACTCGCAGCATTCACAGACAAAACACACAAATACAACATGCTAGTGTTATTAACACAAGCCTATAGCATTTTGCATTGTATAAATTAGCCTAGCAGCTAGCGGAGATTTCCTCTGTTCATATGAAGCCAGGGACAACAGCAACATTTAACAAAGGTAACGTTAAGGCTCCATGATAGTCTATCATTGATAGACCCTTTTAGGACCGGCATCACGGTGACATCATGTTATCAGCTGGAGGTGCAGCTGCCTCTCCCCCACAGGGCTGTAGGCTCCATAGGAGTGTTAAAATGTGTTTGTCTTGTTGTGTTATTGGGAGCCAGAATAGAAGGAGTCATGGCTCAAAACCAGCCGCCACTGCCCGTCAACAAAAACAAAGACAACTATGGTTAAATGTGATAAGACCAAAGGACTGGACGGAGGCCATCATCAAAAATGCTCACATGTGCAGCGCACACTTCATATCAGGTTAGGGAAAAAGTATTTCCTGTTGTAGGGATGAATAAGGTTATGTGTATTAAGGGTTATCATGTCCACCTCATCAGAAACTGGGGAGGGATTAAGAGGAATATTGGATTTCTCTGCAACGCTTACTTTTTAGCACATTAGCTAACGTTAGCTTCCATAGCAAAACAAACAAGTGTGGTCCTCCTTTGTAAGATTGGCTTCCTGTGACATCATCCATCCACTGAGTGAGAGCATACGGGTCGGCCAGTCTGGTCCCGTTGGTCAGTGTTTACTTATTCAAGTAACACTGGCGGTCCCGGAGAGTGAGTGACCTGACATGGTGCGTTGGTAAATTCAGTCTGACGCTCTACACTAAAATGAGAGCCCTGTTGGTGGAAGAAACGCAGCGTTATATTTCTACATGAATGAACCAACGGTTAAGTTAATCACACATTCACTCCGCTCGGCGCTCTGCTGCTCCGTCTCCACAGACAGAGTGTCCAGAGTGCGCTCTGTCACTCTGAGAGTGCGCTGCTCTGGATAACCCAACGCTACATTCAGACAGCGCTCCCAATTTATCAACGCTCCAGTTTGTGTCAGAGTGCGCTCCCACACTCACAATGAGTGTTTCTGAATGCACCACTCACATCTTCTTCCTCCATCGTCTAAAACAAGACAACACAACTTGTTAGCTAGCGCTAGCTAATGTCTGTGGAGAACTGTTCTGCATCCAGCTAAGCCCCGCCCACCAAAAAACATCACACTGTTTACTAATAGTAAAAGAGTCTATTTTTGTGGAGGCTTTATTGTCTTCACACTTTATTGTTTCTTATCTGTGAAATTAAAGTAAATCAAAGCTTTGTTTCCACTGAGGGAAATGGTTTCAGCTCACAGAAATAGACAGGAAGTCTGTGTCGCCGCAACATGTAGTTACATTTCTAGGAAGGAGCATATCAGGCTACAGAGCAGGTACGGCGTCGATTTATAAATCCTGCCTAAAGTCATCTTATTTGAGACTTCAGTTCAAGTCATGTGACTCGAGTCCACACAATGCAATTACCTTGACAATGATTGAAGCTTTGTAGTATTTGTTTTAGCCCTAAAAATACTGATAAATATGATACTTCCCAAAAATAAAACCAAGTCTCTGACAGCACCTCACACAGCTACTGCTCTTCTGTTTAGATGTTAATTGAATTACAAAGGTGAAAGCCAACTGTCTCCTGAAATAATCAGCAGCTTCACACTGCAGTCAGTGCTGACACACACACACACACACACACACACACACCCCAACTTCTATTTCAGCATCCTGTACTCAGGGCTATGTGAAGGTTTGCATCAACATCTCTGAGCGCGTGAATGTGTGTGCGTCTGTGACTCAGACATCACAGAGGGGAGGGGTCAGGGCATGAGGCAGCGCTCACAAGAACACGTGCATGCTCAATGACACTGCGAGAAACACACACATACACACACACACACACACACATACGCACATGCGCACAAAAACAAAGCAACAATCCCCTGTCGATGTCACACAGCGAGCTGCGTCCTGAGCTGTCCTCTGCTTTCTGTGGCTCCATCTGCCCCCACTGCTCCTAATCCAGCTCCCTGCACTGCACTAATCCACACACACACACACACACATCTACACATCTACATACACACCACCTGATCACTTGGCACACAGTCAGACCTCAGAGCCTCCATGTAAATATTACTTCTATACACTACCTGCACGAGGGTTACCATGGCGATGGCTATACTAAAGTATACTAAACTATGCTAAAATCAATACCTGTCTCTCTGCTGAAATGTTCATGTTGTTTGGTTTGGCCTGACGGTGGTGCAGGTGAAAGGTCAGTCAGGGGAAATTCTAACTCTGTCAGTTTGTACTCTCAGCTCGACCAGAGAATATTCAGTTAAAACAGATCAGTGACGCTGTGTTGCCGTCATCGTTGTCCTTGAAGTTTGCTCCCAGTGCGCTTCAGTGGCGTGAGCACTGTGCCAGACTCCATTTAAAAAAACATAGAGTTTTAAGCCCAGGTCAGACCAAAGATTCACAATGAGACGAAACCGTTTTAGAATGTTGTTGAGAAAAGTTGCAGCGGTTTTGAATAAGTGCTGCACAGTGGATGTAAATTATGCTGATGAGAGTGGTTTATGTGGATTTCAAAAAGCAAAAGATTTATGGAACATTTTAATAAACTATAAAATGTTAAATTTGAGAATGGAATTTTGTGTGTTGGTAGAATGAGACTAAAGAACATGTTGGGGAGCTCTGTGATTGGTGGTTCCTCCACAGTTTTTAGATCATCTTGACAACAGATAAACAAAGATTCACTCTGGAGTCATTATGAAACTCACCAACAACATTTTCCACCACCATGAGACGGCGTATCATCTCTAGTCAACGACTCTCTGCGCTTCTGATCTGTAACGTTGACAGGAAGTGACCGCCATGAGACGGCGTATCGTCTTGGCGTATCGTCTCTAGTCAACAGCTCTCTGTGCTTCTGATCTGTAACGTTGACAGGAAGTGACCACCATGAGACGGCGTATCGTCTTGGCGTATCGTCTCTAGTCAACAGCTCTCTGTGCTTCTGATCTGTAACGTTGACAGGAAGTGACCGCCATGAGACGGCGTATCGTCTCTAGTCAACGACTCTCTGCGCTTCTGATCTGTAACGTTGACAGGAAGTGACCGCCATGAGACGGCGTATCGTCTCTAGTCAACGACTCTCTGTGCTTCTGATCTGTAACGTTGACAGGAAGTGACCGCCATGAGACGGCGTATCGTCTCTAGTCAACGACTCTCTGTGCTTCTGATCTGTAACGTTGACAGGAAGTGACCGCCATGAGACGGCGTATCGTCTCTAGTCAACGACTCTCTGTGCTTCTGATCTGTAACGTTGACAGGAAGTGACCGCCATGAGACGGCGTATCGTCTCTAGTCAACAACTCTCTGCGCTTCTGATCTGTAACGTTGACAGGAAGTGACCACCATGAGACGGCGTATCGTCTTGGCGTATCGTCTCTAGTCAACAGCTCTCTGTGCTTCTGATCTGTAACGTTGACAGGAAGTGACCACCATGAGACGGCGTATCATCTCTAGTCAACGACTCTCTGCGCTTCTGATCTGTAACGTTGACAGGAAGTGACCGCCATGAGACGGCGTATCATCTCTAGTCAACAACTCTCTGTGCTGATCTGTAACGTTGACAGGAAGTGACCGCCATGAGACGGCGTATCGTCTCTAGTCAACAACTCTCTGCGCTTCTGATCTGTAACGTTGACAGGAAGTGACCACCATGACTGCTGACACTTTTCTCAGTGATGTTCTGAAACAGTTTCATCTCGTCGTGAATCTTTGGTCTGAACTGGACTTTAGAATAACTTTAACAGTGCTGTTTCTTGAGCTAACAGAAGCTAACAGAAGCTAACTGGTTAAATCTGGTAGCAGTTGTTGAGCTTGTCTGGGGGCATGTGACTGGCTGAAAGGTGAGAAGGCAGTGACATCATCACTGCCATTAAAAGTTGGACGTTTGTTAATTTTTTCACAATGATTTTGTCCATGTATTAAACAAACATTTTGAGGCTCCTTCCTCTTTGATACTGTGGAGGGGAAACGTTGGGTTTAACTCAGTGTTTGTCTTCAGTTCTTCAGCAGCTCTGAACTCTCTGAAGTCTCTGTGAATTTATTTAATGAGACAGTGACGGCAGGATGTGTCTGTGTGTGTCTGTGTGTGTGTGTCTGTGTGTGTGTGTGTGTGTGTGTGTGTGTGTGTGTGTGTGTGACTGCACGTGCTGTAATGCAGAGAGCACAGATGGCAGCGTGACAGAGTTCTGTCTTCTCTTTTACCACTTCACAAAAGACATTAAATTCACTGACTGAACCCTCCATCATCCATCAATCCATCAATCCATCAATCCATCATTCATCCGTCCACGCTTGCAGAGATTCTTTCACCCGTCACTTTTGTCAAATCCACTGTTAATCTCTGCTTTCCTTTCATGTTTACATCAAAGATGGACATGCGCACACGCACGCACACATGCCTGCACACACACACACACACACACACACACACATACACATACACACAGAGTCCGTCTCACCCTTTCTCGTCTCCCTCTGATGAGTTGCTATCCTGCTTGTTGGACATTGGCTCCATGTAGCCTCAGTCCTGTCCAGCAGCCAGTCACAGGACAATGAGGCGGACCTCGACCTTGCCAGCCTGCTCAGCATTCGCCGGCGGGCCCTTCAACAGACAGCCATCTGAGGATCTGCGCAGCGATTGGCTGGGAGGAGCACAGTGGGCGGGACATCAGTGGAAGCAAAAGAGAGCTGGAGGGACAGAGAGAGACAGAGTCAGAGACAGAGTCAGAGACACTGTGACATTTGTTCAGTAAAATGTTAGATATTAAATGGACTCAATTATATCACGTTATACCTCAGTGTGTAAATATGACATGTACATACAGAGGAGCTGCGTCTGACAGATATAAAACAGAAAAACAGGAAACCCTGACAGCTGAGGAGACAGCCAGCCAATGTTTGGTATTAATGCTGCAGAAAATAAAAATGATTCATTTTTGACATTTAAAACCTGAATTTGAATTGAACACTTTGGAGGAAATAAAGACAGAAAAGTTTTTCATTGTGGAGCAGCATCATGAAACTAAAATCATATGACCTGTGTTCTTTACACATTTCCCAGTGTTCCTCATTATAATCCCTGAGCACAAGCACCCAGTTTGAATGTTATCAGCACATTAAATGGCCGTTGTCAGGTGTCATTAGGAGCACAGGTTGGAGGTACTAAGGCCCTAGTCTACCTACTGTGTCTACCTTTATTGTTAGGCGACCTCTAGTGGCTGTAGTAATTATGACAGGAGCAAAAGAGGCAGTCAGGTGATGTAGTGCAGGCCCACAGCAGCTGTGCTGGGTTTGAAGCTTATTCTCGTAGTGGGCAAACAGTGTAATTACATGTGATGTGGCGTCGTCATGTGAGGGTTGCAAAAGACTTTTCCCACAGACTACATGGGAAAGAGACGTTTGTAAATCAGTGGATAATTGTTTTTTTAACGTCACATCCCCTCGTTTCTCATTTCTGGATTTGATCCATTGGGTCTGATAACATTATAAAAGTCTAGGAGAGCTGCATGACTAAATCCTTTAATACCCATGCAAGTTAGTGGAGGGTTAAACCAGAAGTAGCGAGTTCAGCTGGCAAAAGTCTCTAGTGTGATCGCTCTATTGGCCCCACAGTGCGGAACCAGTGCTGATCATCCAGGTAATCTTCTACACAGCGGTTAAACCATCATGGCGTCACGCGCCACTTAACAGCTTCTGTAGAAATGAACCGGGCCCCGCCTCCAACACTGTATCTCTTCATACATCCATGAAGTAGTATAGAGTGCTGCAGGGATGGTGGTCAAACAAACACAGGACTTTGACCCAGGAGATCGCTGTTTGTGGCCCATGGGAAACCAAATGTCCACGTTGCTTTATGTTAAGTTATGTACGTAAGTTGTGTCAAGTAAAATCCGGGACGGGTGCCACAAGAACACGACTCTACAGCTGTTAGAGGGTCTGTGAGGCTGCTAACATGCTGGAATTTTGCAGGTATAATGTGTAACAGTGGCCACCATCTTAGTTTAGCGTGTTAGCATGCTAACACTCACTAATTAAACACAATGTCCAGCTGAGGCTGATGGGAGTGTCATTAGTTTTACAGGCATTTGATTATAAACCGAAATTTTGGATTATCAAAATGATTGTCTGCCACAAATTTTAAACAAAAACACCTGTATCTATGTCCTAATCAATTACCTATTTATTTTTATCTTTATCTATGCATTTCATTTGTCTGTTTATTAATTTCTTTTCTTAAAAATGAGTCTAATTAGTTTGTATCTATTCTTCTATTATGAAATAAATTAAGTACATACATACATATGATAATTATGTATTTATATTTTATTAGAAATTTATAGGAATTCAAATAATAATAAATATAAATGTAATTGTTTATGTATTTATTTCATCAGTTATATAAGTACTTCTTTATGTCATGTGGATAATCATTTCCTGACCTCTGACCCAGATCTCTCAGCCCAGTAGGAAGACAGACAAATAAACCCTTAACTCAGTATCTGAGGAGGATAAAGGACCTCAGTGTTTAATGAACAAGACTTTTTTTAGTTCAATTTTATTACAGGACAGAAAGGTTGTGACTAACAGTGACCTACTTTGAGGAAAATTAAGATTGAGAAATGGGACTGTTCTGAAAACAGAAATAAATCAAATCATCTTCAACTTTAAACTTCAGACGTCACTCCTCAGTTACATGTTCGATCACAGAGAGGCCGGTGTGCTTTCACACAGAGCTGCTGTTATAAGCTCCTTACAGAACTCTGAGAGGAATTTAGGGTAAAATGTACTCCACAAATTTCATGGGTGTTTCTTCGGCTATTTGTTCCTCATGTGCGACCCAAGTTCACAGCGACCGTGCAGATTAACAGTGAGGGCAGATTCATGCCTCTCTGCCAGGCTGTGGTGGGTTCAGTGCACGGGACATTTTAAATGTATAATGAAATCCTGTTTATGCAGCCTTGCTGAAATGATGAATAAGTAGTCTAACCTTGGTCTGACTGAGGGAGCAAAAGAAAAGGATGAAATATAAAAACAGCAACAACAAAAGATTGTCAGGTCAGATATGACGAGAATTACTGCAGTGTTGTTTTGTGCCTCAGGGAACCAGTCCAGTGTCTCTGACAGTTTATATCCATGTCTGTGAAGACAGGCATGATGATGTCACAGTGAAGCTGACCTTTGACCTTTTGGATAGAAAATGTCATCATGTCATTATTTTATCCTGTTAGACATTTGTGTCAAGTTTTGTCATAATCACATATTAATCCTTGAGTTATGGCCAAAAACATGTTTATAAGGTCACAGTGACCTTGACCTTTGACTTTTGACCATCAAATTCTAATCAGTTCATCGCTGAGTCCAAGAAGATGTTTGTGCCAAATTTGAAGCAATTCCCTCAAAGTGTTTTTGAGATATTGCATTCACAAGAATGAGATGAATGCAAGGTCATAGTGACCTTGACCTTGACCAGCAAAATCTAATCAATCCACCCCAGAGTCCAAGTCAATGTTTCAGACAGCCGTGGTTGAGAAGGTACTGATTAGAAGATCAGCGGTTTGATTCCCGGCTCCTCCTGTCCACATGTCTAAAACATTTGTGATGGCCACGTGTTCAGTGTTGAATGGTTAAAAACAGAAAAGCAGGTGGCAACTTGTGTTGTAGCCTCAACCACCTGTGTATGAATGTGTGTGTGTGTGAATGAGTGAATGAGTGGTTGAAAGGTGCTGTACAAGTGCAGGTCCGTTTACCAGTTTGTGTCACATTTGAAATATTCCCTCAAAGTGTTCTTATGATATGACGTTCACAAGAATGAGACAAAGAAGGTCACAGTGACCTTGACCTTTGACCTTTGGACGTTTGTGCCAAATCGACAATTAAAATTGTTAAATTAAACGAATATTTTTTTTATTTTCTTTGGTATCTTTTGTCATATACAGATATGCAGTGATGATTGTTAGGTAATATTCATGTTGATTAGGGATGGGCATCAATTTTCGATTATCGATGATTGATTGTTAAGGCTTTTGATCGATCACAAATAATTTTGCTCGACAGTCTCAGTATTTCCCCTACAATGCCTACGAGACCCCTGCCGGACCTATGCCAGGCAAAAAAATCATAAACAGACGGCTCTCATCGCTCTCCAAAGCCTCGGCGGCTTCCCTTGAGGCCTCTGAAAACACTACGCCATTGAAAGACGGAGGTTTTGCTGAAAACTGTGCGCACGGACCATTTTCTAATGACACCACGCAGACGCAGCTGTAGAGCTGACCTGCTGCTCGTGTTGGAGGAGGAGCGACCACGTGGCCTTTTTGTCAGGGTCAGAATGTGTGGACAGGTAAATCCTTCTTTAACCAGAAACCATTGATCACCAGGACCATCCGGTAACATGGATGTTACAGGCAGACAGACAGACAGACAGACATCCTGTAAACAGAGTGCCACGGGCCCTGGCTACGCCTACACGGAGGCCTTAAACTACGTTGAGGAGAAAGAATGCACTCGTGGCTATTAAATATTAACTGTGTCATGTTTGTGTGGCTGCAGGGTTCAGGGTGGATTATCCTGCTCAGAGATTAAAGTGTTACTGTCTCGTCACAGTTTAGTGTGGATGTGTGTCAGCGGAGAAACCTTTACCTTCACTTCAGCCTGAATATAACCAATAATACTAAAGACCCATCAGTCACCATGTGTGAAGAAGAACACAGCTCCTCCTCAGCTGCGTGAGCTGTGTGTACATCAGCATGTGAGGAGCACAGAGCGCCACATGAGGGCAGCAGAGTCACTGTAGCGCCGGTGTTGTGGATCTACATGTGACCTGAGCTGACCTGTTCCTGTACAGAGCCTGCAGGCTGTTACACGCTGTTCTCACATCACTCAGCAGGACCACTGATCATACAGAGGAGTCACTAAACACTGATTCATAGACTCAAAGCAAAAATACTGACACACACACAGCAATATGGACACACAGACAGATATGACTGAACACTATAAGTGATCTGCTGCAGGGCAGAATCAGTGTAAAAATTAACGACCTCTGCAGAAGTGAAATGTAAAAACTAGTATGTGAACCTGTGAGGAGCTGCAGAAATTATTCTGGTCGTTGTGCCAACAATGTGTTGGGTGGAGATCAAGAACGAGAGCGTGACCTCGCAGAGTAAAAAAGTTTCTGCTGTTCTTCCGACTGGATTTGGCAAAGTTTGATTTATCAGCTGGCTCCGTTGGTGATGATGAAGATGTTCCCCTGTGATTAGTTAACCCTGATTGGCTGAAGGTGTTTGTCTGTCAAGGTGAGAAGCCCCGCCCACTGACAGTGTTTTAGGGCGGCACCGAGTCCAGACTGAAACAGAGAGAGAGACAGGATGTGGAGGACGGTCTCACCGGGCTACGAGCTCAGTGTCACTGTCTGTGTACACAAAGGTCACACGTTCATCTGTCTGACCATTCATCCATCCATCCCTTCATTTGTACCTCCATCCATCTGTAAGTCATCCACTTTCTGCCTGCACAAAGGTCATCCATCCCTCCTGTCCATCCATCCCTCCTGTCCATCCATCCATCCATGCATCCATCCATTTGTTCATCCATCCATCCATGCATCCATCCATCTGTTCATCCATCCATCCATCCATCCATCCATCCATCCATCCATCCATTAGTCTGTCTGTCCATCCATCCATCCATCC